AACACATCACCTGATCTACTAATGTGGCAACAAAATGTTGTCACAATATTTTGGATTATTTACATACTTGGGATGACTAGGTACATACATCATTAGTCAGTCATACTGCAGTTAAAGAGAGTGAATCTCTGGATAGCTATTTACTATCCGAACTACACTTCTGCTAGAACTAAATTTAGTCAGTATTAACTTATAGTGTGACATTTCCAAATGTGACAAGAGAGGAACAAAATATTCAGCCCTCAACATGATTTATTAAAGACAAGGTGCTTTTCCCCCTCTCACATGAAGGATTCTCACTAAGCATGTCTCTGCTGCCTAATTGATAAATGAGCTTTGTAATGTTTTATAAAGAATTGTTAGATCAAAATATTTTCTTCTTAATTACCTATTTGAGGAACAACTGCTAAAATATGATCAAGACTCTTTAAATGGAAGCTTTTATGAAGAATTTCTGCAACATTAACATGGAAGTGAGTCTTATAAATTTTACATTTGAAAAAAACAATGCCTGGTAGCTCATCTAAACTGAATTTAAATGGCACTAGACAAAGCTACAGTAGTAAAGCTGCCCAACCACATTCAGTTGATCAGGAGAAATAAACTTACCATATTTAATAAAATTCCAGACTCTTGTGGTCGATGTCGATAAAAACGGTTAGCGGTATTGGATATGTGGTTTGCAAAAGCGAGTAAATCCTCCACAGTTCCATATCTGACCGATGATAACCAGGGCGCCTCTTGGCCACTGAGTAACAGAGACTCCGAGCACTCCTGGTTTTGATTACTGTCTTGACACATAGTCATTAGACTCGGCTCTTCACTTGTGTAAAGGTTCTCCATAATGTCTATTACATTGGACACATAAAATTTTTGAATTAATAAATCGATTTCTTCTTTATTGTCACTTCCAGTGCTCATGTACTCCATTACTGTTATGCTTTCTAGAGAGTCTGTAAAAGAAAATACAAATAGCTTATTATATTTGCATCTGCATTTGCAGATAGTGGGAAACTGACATACAAGGAGGGAGAATGGGCACCTTGGAAGGGGCTTCTACCTGCCCGTGTTCAAAAAATGCGGTTTCTGTTCAATAGAATATATGAATTCAAGTTGACAGGGAAGAAAAAGACCTCAGATAACCTTTAATCCCGCAGTCATGTAGCAGAGAGGAAACTTGTGCTGCTGAGAGCTCACTGGGTTCTCACTGGGCATCAGCCCCTACCACTGAAAACAAACTTTCATTAAACATAAACACCAATTTGAGCAGCTCAAAAATCTGAGAGTTGACTCCAGACCACTTTACAGCTCTCAACCCTACAAAAGCCTTCTGCTCTCCAAGGGGGCACTCCTCCCTGCAGGAAACTCTGTGGTTATTAAGCTTTGGGTGCCTGTGAAGGAGAACCCACTTTCTAAAGTCAGGAACTAACTTGGCAAATATTGAAGCCAGAAGCATGCAAAATGAATTTTAATCTGAGCAAATCTGATGATGATAAACGTTTAGTACTAATTCTGATGCAATGGGATTTATGCAGCTCATTTTGAAGAGTGGCAACAAATTCAAACTCCTGATTCTATCAGAAAAAAACCATTCATTTAACCTGAGAATCAGGTGTTTCCTCTTGCGGCCAGATACGTGTACAAAACACATATCTTACAGGCCCACTAATACTGATTTAATATCTCTAGCATTTGTGGTATTAAAAGAAGCCAGGAAAGTCAAACCTATGGATAAAGCTAAACAATTATAGTGGCCATTAGTGTACTTTAGGTCTAACATCCAAACCAGGTGCCATACCTGGTAATTTGTAAATGAGAAAAAGAAGGTAACTTGAGTTAAAAAAAGAAAAAGAGGGCCCTCCCTGGTGGCGCAGTGGGTTAAAGCACAGCACTGGGAATCTAAAGCCGCTTCCGCATGAGTTCCATTCCCGCCTGCCCCGGAGGTGACCACATGGCGTGGCAGACCTCTCCTGGCCCGCCCGCTGCTCCCCTCAGCAGTGTACTTTGTCGATCTGCCTGTTCTGCTCCCCACTCTGTCTCTGGTGAAGCCTCTCACTCTCTGCATCTCTGGCCTGTACCCCGGTTCTATATAAATAAATAAATCTTTAAAAAAAAAAAAAAGAAAAAGATACTATTACTCAGGACTTTATAAGAACTCTATTCCAAAGGACTAAAGATAAAAGGGCTTAAGAGATCTAACAGAATTTGGAAGTATGCATGTTTACTTAAACTTTTATGCTCCTGAAAATATTCTGAAAGCTATTTTAGGCTCTTAAGAGCACAAGGCCTTAAGACATTTAACACTAAAGGCCATAGGCCCAACTTTGGCGCTCAAGTACAAGGATCCAGGAAATGTTCCACTAAGGTGCCACCAGCATCTGCAAGCAAGACCCAGTCAACAATCTGAGTGAATTCCATTTGAGAAAAGAATCAGGCAACTTAATGTCAACATTACTTCCTTGATCATTTTCTGATATACAAATTATGTCTAAGGAAAGCAATCTAGCATCCTACAGTCTGGTGTTCTTGCTGGAATGTTCAGGGTCAAATCCAAATCCCTTCATACTGTCTGCAGGATATTGAGCAAGCATCTTACTCCATCTGTAAAATGGTAGAATAGCACCCATGTCACAAGGTGAGAATTTAAAAGAGTTCATATGCACATGTCTAATGCACCATAAATGAGTTGGTGGCTGCTTCTATGTGCATAAAAGAGAAAGGGTCTGAGTCAGAGCCCAGCTTTGCAGTTATCACGTTAGACCTCTTTTCTTATCTGCAAATGGGTTGTGGCTACTATTCCCCTAGCTTCTTCGCAGTAAGGTTTGAAAGATTGTTATCTAAAATAAGAAGCAAAGAAATAAAAGCCTATGAATTGCTTTGATGGCTGTTATCACCACAGTTCGATCTAGTGAGCAAAGGAAGCTCCCTTTCACAAATATTGTACATCTTTGAGGGAGACTGCAGTTCAGATTCTTAAGAGTTTGTTGAGTTATGAAAGGTGTTTGTTAGATGAATGAGGAACATTCAACTTTCACTGAGCCATTTAGTTGCAGTTCCTGTAGAGTTTACTGTGAAATAGAAGTTAAAACAGAAACTACTTAAGACCCCAGTGACCAAAAGGCTCCAATGCTCCTAGACTTACATATCAGATGGTTGAACTGAGAGAAAATTAAAAAATTAACATGACTCAAGAAGGAGAGGAAAATTCCATGTATTTGCAAGTCAGTGATCAGATTCTGGGAGAAGAGACAGGTTAGGTTGTGGTGTTTAACCCCTGAATTCCAACCTGGGAGAGAAGGGAAGGAAAAGGGTGGGGAGGAGTGTGTGACAGAGACTATCCTGGGTGCCAGGTGTACCTCCTTAGCAACACAGGGCTGGGCTCCACTCTACAAATCAGTGCTCCTCAAGTAACACAGTTGACAGTCCACCTACTCAAGGCCCCAGCAAAAAGCCTCAGCACTTTCCTGCTTAATTAAGCAAACAATATGCTAATTTTTTTTCAAGTTATTCATGACCCAGACTTACTTGAAAAGTATGGATTGTAAAGGCATTCTACTTTAGCAATAAACACCCCTTTCCACACACTTTCCAATAAATACCCTCATAAACTTCCCTACTTCCTACTGCAGTAGAAAATTATGCCCATTTTTGAAATGATGAGATGGGTAAACACAGTCAAAACTGTGCAGCAATAAAACACAGAGGAAATCACATTCCTAAAAATGAATGATATACTCTTGGCTACTTTCAGCTATATAAACAAAAGTTAAGAGTTTCCTGGCAAGTGTGAATGAAAATGGCTAAGACTACATGCATAAACTACTGCCCAACAAAGGATGGTTATGGCTTGTGTAACCTTTAAAAGTTTTTTCCTCCCAAGTAGTACATTGTCTCTCAAGGCATGGCACTTATATTTTTGTTCTTAAAAAAAAAAAAAATCAGAGTGACGCATTCTTGTTGTACAACCCTTGATGCCGCAGACATCCAATTCTTCTTATAGTACAAAGTCCTTCAGAGACATTTGCCAGAATTACTGCCCACAACCTTCAATCCATCAGATGTGACGGCTTCTGATGGAATCAGATTATGTTCTACTTGGCAAATACTTCACACACCGGACTCAGACGTGTGAAGCAACTGTGTTAGTGTTTCTTTCCCTGCTTTTATCAAGAGCAGTACTTTATTCTGGGCCAAAATATCTTTCCAAAAGTGAAACAGACTGTGCAATGGTTCACTTATAAGACCGCTTGTAGTCTTCCCTGCTCGCTTTTGGGACAATTACCGAGCAAGCAGCCCTTTTTCTTCTAAGCGTCATTATTCCACCAGAACTGAAGTAATTTCAGTCCTGGTATTTCATTACTACGAGAAAATATCTGTGGGATAACTTCTTCCCCCAAAACATTGTTTCTTACTCAAAAAACCCAGCATTAGTGTTCTGCCATAACCACCCTTTAGTCACAGAATAGCGTCCGGTTATTAGCGTAAAATTAAATTTCAGTTACTCAAAAGACTTTTGCTCCGCAACCACTTTTGCTCCAATACCCCCACTCTCTTCCTGCGATCCCTTACAGGAGGAAGAGGGGGGAGCTAAAAGGAATTATTAGTGCGAGCGGCAGGGGGGTCTCTTAGCCCAGAAGCTACACTCACCCGGTCTCAGAAGGCAGAGAGCAGGGGTCCAGGCGGCGTACCGGCTGGAGGTGCAGTGATGGCCGGACCTGCTTCCCGGCTCACTGCCCAGACCCGCAAAGCTAGCAAGCTCGGGATCCGGGAAGGAGGAGGAAGGGGGAGGAGCCGCGCGCCTGCACCCCGTGAAACCCTTGCGCAAGGTGCTTTCCAGCTGTGCCGGCTGCACCCGCGATCGGTGCGGAGGGCAGGAGTTCGACAGCACCAGCTGCTGGCACGTCCCCACTTCCCCGAACTCGGGTGTTCTTTATGACGGAGTACCCCCCTTTTCCGAGTGGAAACCTACTGGGCACCCTAGAGGGCTGCGACCAGAAAGACACCCCCGAGTGCCGGAACTGAGTTACCTGCGGCCTCCGCGCGCCCCCACGATGGAGCGCTGTGCCCCTGACGTCCCGGAGAGCAGCTGCGGGCTGACCATCCGGAGGCCCGCGCACGCGGGCCACGAAGTCCGGCGGCGGCGGTGGCGGCGGCTGGAGCCACGGCGACCGGCCCCGGAGCGTGGCGCGTCCTCCGGACGCGAGCGGACAAGTGAGCACGGGCTGCCGGCGCGCTCGGCGGTGCTTCTCGGCCCTGACTCACCGCGTCTGAACCCGCCGAGGGGCGGCGCAGCGGACGCCAGCCACCGCCTCCCCGCCTTTTCCATTTCCCCTTTCTCTCCGTAAACAGAAAGGGACGGCCGGTTGCGGGGAAGCTGGAGCCCCCGCGCAGGGAAATTCCGCCCCCTCCCCCCTCCCCCCTGGGGCGCCCGGGCGGAGCCGAAGGCGGGACTGAGGAGGAGGAGGAGGAGCTCGGAGCCGGTAGCGCCGGGCCGGGCGCTGGGGTCCGGACGCCGCGCCACCTCTCCGGCGCAGAGAACCGCATCCGCCGCCCGGGCGAGGCTGGGGCACCGAGGAGTTTGCCTTGGACCTGGAGGCCGGCAAACCTGGTGATGGAGAGGGCCCCAGTGGCGGAATTGGAAAGGGCCACCATGTCCTCGCACACCTTCTTAGTCCCTGGAGAAAGGTCGTGCTCCAGGCCTCGGCGCCTCTCGGGTAACCCAGGCCCAGGCGCAAAGGACACGCGCCCGGGCGGGTCGCCCCTTTCGGCTCCCGGCTCCCACCGCTACGCACTGGGCAAAACAGGCGCTGCGAGGGCTTCGCTGCGGCGCTGGAAGCACTAGCGGCGCAGGCCTTCGCGGAACCGCGCGCCCCCCTGCCCCGCTGGGGCGAAAGCGTGGCGCTGGCCCAGGTGTCGGCCCCTTGCCTCACGCAAGTGCCATGATCGGTGACCCGCACGTGCGGGCTCGG